CACACACACACACACACACACACACACACACACACACACACACACACACACACACACACACACATATATACATACATACACTCATATATGCGATAGCTCGTAGTTGTTTCGCTATCGCTCGTTTCTTTGCTACGCTTGGACCATACTTGTATACACGTGTAGAAATGCATACACGTGCAAGAATTTATGACTGTACGTCCGATAGTTACACTTTTCAACACTCTCCTTAGCTTAATGTCAAAGTAAGCAGGAAGAACTTTCTTTTCGCGGTCTTGCACGAGTCGTCATCGTTAGTTTCGGACGAATAAAACTCGTGAGCGAGCGAAAGACTAACCCGCTTGTTCGGCATGAGCTCGGAGTTGGGTCACTCGAGATCGAGATCACGTTTGGCAACGAGTCGTGATGCATCTCACTTCGCAACTAATGACGCCTCTTGCTGCAAGCCAGTCGAAAGGGAAAGGCTGATCCGCGGATTGTAGTGAGACGATACGCCGCTGTTTATTCGCCTGTGTGTATGTATTACGTGTCTGTCTGCCTGTGTTCCGCGCTTCTCCCGTTTACATCTTGCGATCGCTTACGAGTGTATTTATTAAGCGATTACTTGTACTCGGACCACTCGGACCTCGACGACTACATCGCGCCACGACTGTACTACATACACCGCGAGATCGCCGTTCGATTGACTCTTTGAGCCGCCAGTGTGCCCAATTTCACGTGTAATTATCGAAACGACTGCTGCTTTTATCGTCGGACATGTGTTCAGAGAAGTCTCGACGTACTCTGGACTCTTGTGCAAGACTGAGAAACGACGTTCGCTGTTATGAGTTGCTGTTATGAGATGTTCGATCTGCAACAATCCTCCTCAGAATGTCGTGTTTTCGGCTTCTTTCTCGTCGCGCTTGGTATGTGAAAGCGAGGTGACTTGCTGATTACGAAGTTCATCGAAAACGAGACCGATTCCAATGCTGTTACTTCGCGGCTTCTCACTTGTAGACTCGTTTCTGGTATGCGTGGCATGAGCTCTCGTGTTTAACTGCGCTTAAGACGCGATCCCGTCATCGACACCGTCGCCAACAGCAATCGACCTAGCTATGTTCGCGCACGGCGTGCTTGTTCGCCTTCGAAGTTTCCAAACTCCGCGGCTTCTTGTGTCGGTAACTCGACGATTTGTTGATACGTCGGCTCGCAGTTGCACGTTGTACAAGCGTTCTCGGCTGATTCACAGCGCTCGCGATACCGATTGTCCCTCTGAATTTTCTCCATCCTCGCTCCGCCAATGTGATGTACACATGACTTCATGAATGCCCGAACATTTATTGAATCTACACGATTTAGAAAACGATTTATTGAGTCAAATAAATGTTTCTTTGGAATAGTCCAAACAAATTATTTGATTGACACAACAAAAATATTTCTTTGGAACTAAGTCGCAAATAAATATTTTTGTTGCGTCAAACAAAATTTTATTCGATTAATCAAAAAATTCGTTTGGACTATTTCAAAGAAATATTTATTTGATTCAACCAAATCGTTCTCTTTGTGTAGATATTGGACATTTTGGACTAGCCGTGTGCCTTTCGACATATACTTTTCTCATAACTGTCGAATATCCGAAGAATCAGGAAAGACATTCGAAAGTAGTCGTGATAGTTTGACAGTTTGAGGTTTATTTCGCGTAAGAGAACGTTTTGTCCGCTCGTGCATTACGAACAGTCAACAGGAAAGCGACACAATACAGTGAAAGTATATTTAGAAAACCTCGACGTTGGCATATGAATAGCAGGTAAATCTTCCAAGAACTATTATAAAAAGAAGAATAAGGGAATTCGAAGAATAAGCAAATATATCACTCTTTACACTCTTTATGCGTGATTACGCGTAACATTAACTTACGCGAACTAAACTTCAAATTGTCAAACTACCACGACTGCTTTATCAGAAATATCTTTCCTGATTCTTCGGATACTCTACAGTCACGATGTATGTACATTATATGGCTGATTAAAAATATCTAGTAATTCTAGATCTAGTAAATATTTGAGCATTAATGAAGCTGCGTGTGCAAACGTGCCTCGTGATGTCGCTGCTCGTCGTTCGCGTCGCATGGTTTCGTTATACGAAGAGATAATTTTTCAGTAAAAATTATTGTGCTACTTGATGACCGAGGAACATGTCGACATTCTGCCTTAATTTATTATCCTCTCGTGTGTGTCATATGCTATCTATATTTCAAAAACTAAAATAGTTTAACCTGTTCAGGGATATATTAACATATATATGTGTACGTTTAGATGGTCTAAAATATCCAGTAGTCGACACTGTCAGACTGGATTTTACTGAATATTGAGGTGTGTGGGGATTTATTAATTACACTAGTCACCGGGTAATTTGTCATATTTATCTAATGTGTCTCTAATGCATTTTTATACGTGGAACCCGAAAATGAATTCAGAATTTCACCATCATTTATAGTTTCTTCATGACAGTCATTTAATGAGATTTAATATATCGTATGAAACATTCCACGCAATTTGCAATTTATTTTTATTCTAAATTGTCTATACTATCAATATTATTTTCCAGAAAAAATTCCTTCATTTAAGCAATATATTCATTTATAAAAATTCGCTACGATTAACGATTTTTTTCGTTTTATATTAATATTTTTTTAATGAGATACGATATCGATGTATGACCAGAACTGATATTTTTTTATTAAAAAAAGACATTTTAAAAGTCAAATATAGCAAGAAATTATTAGCTTTTAAATGAGATGTAAATTAAATCTATATAAAGTATAAAGATAACAAATTCTTTTGATATTTAGAAATCACATTATTGCAAAATTCGGGAATTAAAAAAATCTGCATTTCTTAATTCGACATTCGACAAAAGAAATATCTTATTACATAATTGACAGATGTCATATTTATGTCCCTTTAATATTAAATATCATTTTCTTCTAATTTTAATAAATTTATCCTTGAAGAAGTTAAGAGGACGAGTAGGTCTAAAAACAGCCTCTAAAGACGTTTGCTGCATTATATTTTCTCACTAGTCACTTGAGACTATCCTCGGATAGTGCCAGCCCCAGATTGGCGGGCGGAGTAGATTACATAGCTTCATTCTTACAAGATCTCTGGATTCTACAAACATGTAGTCCGATGCTCTGCGTCTTTTACATACTAATGCTGGACGTTGCTCTTTTTGGGAATTGAATTTTACTATTGAAAAGTTCGCCATGTTTTCCAGCAAGATGAACTCTACTGATAGTGTATCAGTGCACTACTAGAAAACCTGGTGGAACTGAAAAGAACTGATATGAGGAGAAGCTATGACATTCTTTCCGTCGTAGTGTCGCTGTTCCTTGCAGCGATCGAAGCAGCTGCGCGATCCGTTTCATCGTGCTAACACACGCTTCCCCGTGCTCTCCGACCATATCGATCCGCATTCGACCAAGCCGGCGTTCACACTCTCGCCAACGCAGCCAACGGTACAACGCGAGATCGAATGCATATCGATGTCTCCACACGGCGACAAAAAGTCGTCTGTCTTGCCACGCTCGTCGTTTAGATCTTCGGGGCTCTCCATTCAGCGCTTCCATCCGTTCGATTTAAGATCGCGACAGAACGTCGCACACGTGTATCTAGAAATTAACGAGAAGATGATACGTTGCGTTGCATCGACGCTCGTTAATTCTCAGATCCGACATCATCAACGGCGCGCATACGACAGACCCATATCGTGGGAAAGAGCGTACGTTGTCGTTAGCTTACGAGTCCAACATGTGTGTATTTATTTATGCGTCAATCTGTCGCGCACACAACTTGTCTGTTACCATCCGGAAGCGGGTATATCGGTATCGTTGGTGGGCCAAGGAGCCTCCGCGCGGATAACCCGATTCCTCGAAGTCGTAAAGACCCTCCTTCATCCCGCCCATTCGCTCGTTTGCCTACTCATTCACTCGCTCGCATTCACTGACTCTTCCTCTCCTTCTCTCCTGAGAGATCCAGCTGGTTCATGAACGACACATCGACTGCATGTGCATCGGCACCGGCGAGTGTAATTACAGAGAGCGCGGTGACGATCGTGTTTCGGTTGTCCTCGTCGTGCACCGGAGTATCACGCCGGCGAGGCGCCGAGTCCAGGCGACGTAGATAACGTTTCCGTGTGGCGTAGTTTACTATCGATTGCCTTCAAGGCTGAGATTACATATTTCATGCTGGCCATCCTGCGGATGTGCGGACGCGTTGCGCGCGTATTATCGCGCGATATCCATGAGGAATTTTTCTTATTCGCGAGAGCTGCAAAATCGTGCGATGACAAGACGGTTGTCGACATGGCGCGAACGAGAAAGTACGTTTTCCTCGATCTCTCATAATTGACGAGCGAGCGAACGAGCGAGCATGCGAGCTTGGTTCATACAGCGATGTTATACAGAGTGTCTGGCAATTATGGACCCATTATGCGCAGGTAGAAGATTGTTAGAGATGTAATACCATGAAAGTATCGATACTCATATTGAAACGAGTATCTGATTAAGAGTATCGATATCATTAGTGAGATGCCAATATTAGAATAAAAGTATCGACGTCGATATTGAAAATATCGAAACTTTGAAAAACTTAAAATTAGAGGAAATATAAAAGTCAGAGAAGTGTTGATTCTGTAAGTTTCTTTTAAGGATTTCATACGTCTACGAATAATAATCTTACTATGGTAGGATAAGATGATCAAATTCGGATCAGATTTGAAAAACTCTTCTCTTCGTTGCTTATAATATATCAGATAACTCACAGTTGGGCACGGATCCAAATGCGGATTAAAATTTCAAATCTTTTTAAGTTAATGACATTTTATTTGAAACTTAAAATAGGACACTAATTGACAACACAAAGTGAGACGCTGAAATTATTGGCATCCCAGACAACACGATGTCCAAAATCGAAACGTAAGATGTTGAAATATAAATTCTAGTTAAGTTTCTATAAAAGTAGAATGCAACATTGTTTAATTCGAAATATAAATAATTTTTATTGTTTTCAACAAGTTCGTTACAACATTAAATAAGATAATTAAATATAACTTTAAATATAATTTTTTTATTATAATAATTTAATTATAAATAAAATTTTTATTGGATTTATCATTAAAAAATTTACAGAAAAATAATATTTACTGTAGATAAAATGTCGATTTTTACCTATTTTCAGTAAATTGCAGGAAATTTATAGCGGTTGCAAATGTGCGTTTTAGCACTACCCGCGTTTCTTTCTTCGCATTAAATAGAATAAGAAGATTTGAAAATTCAAAAGTTTATATATTCTTGCAACTTTTTGTAAAATTTCGTCAAAATATTTGCAGTGAAAGCAAAGAATGAAATTGTTTACGTACATTCTTAAGCATGTATCGCCAAAAATAGACAGTACATGTTGAAATAAAAATTTTACGCAATTACAAAGGGCATAAGTACTATCAAAGGTAGAAGAGAAAATAGTTATTAGGAGGTCTTCATTTTGTCAGGAGAACTTATGCGATACAAATGTACTAGATAATTGGAGATATACTTATATATATGACTGTGTTAATACGAAATTAACAATACCTATCTAATTGAAAATATTGGAAAGTAACATGATTTTTAACGTCTTTATTGAAGGAAAAAGAATATATAAATATACATGTCTGCATCATTTATTTCCTTTATTTCGCTCAGAGAGGTATGTTTTGTTGATGGAAAGAGAGATGAGCACAAAATAAATATAAAATGAACGATTTTGCGGCAGCAGTAATTTGCGAATATATGTACTTTTTTTGTACATCCGCACTGTGATTTCTAGCGCTTTATATCATCTTGAATATCAATATTTGTTAAATTCATATTAAACGTGAATAAGACCAACGTTGATTCTAACCAATGTGGACCAGGTAATTGTTGCTGTCGACTATGATCTGTTCAAGGACTGATAAAACAAGTGTCGATTTTTCCGTGTCGACGATACATTTGTAATGCCAACAATCTTGCATCTATATACATCAGAGATATATACGGGAAGCTTTATACCTCCCAAACAAAAGTAGAAACATGAGTATATAAGTACGGTATTTCAAATCGAATCACTATATTTATTATTATCTCGTGCATCCTGTATTTCGCGCTAATATATCCGAAAAAGTATTTTCTGTCAACGAATAAATATCGTTTCCACTTAGAAATTAGTATCTAGAAACGAAATGTCATTTCCATTTAGAAATTAGTACCTCGAATTTGAAAATATTTTGTATGCGATACATGGTTAAAAGTGTACCTTCGAAAGACATTTTGACTGAGTCGCCAGTCATTTATTGTCATTTATGTACTTTTTCTTTCTTAACTGAATAGAAAAAAAGACATTTTGATAACAGCAACAGTATAGAATAAAGTTATTAACATATGAGAGAGCAAAATTTAAACGAATAATTTTAAAATATCACTCATTAGCGACTTGTCAAATTTTTTATCCGAATTTAGTCATCGTACCTTATAAAGATGCTTCTACCTTTTGCACTAGACTTTCTACGGTTTGTGATCTAAAAACCTTAAAAAGGATGTGTTCTGGTTCCTGTGTCCTTGCTATGACTGCTCTTGTTTGATGACGTCCAAAGTGAGTAATCGTACGCTAAAAATAATTGCGGTATACATCGAAATAAAACAATATACGCTCAAAATGACACTCTTAATTGACTCTGCACGCTTTTAAAAATGTCTCTTTCTTTTTACTTCAACAATCAATAAATAACCGTGAAAACATTAATGTAATAGAAATTATAAGGTAGATTTAAAACGTAAGTTGTATGTGTGTTACATTAATTTTCGGCTATTTATTGAGCGTTGAAGTAAAAAGAAAGCGTCTGTACATTTTTACAAGTGTGCTGAATCTATTAGGAATGTTGTTTTATGCATATATTGAGGCCGGAGTAAATTGGCAAAACCGATTATTTCTGTTATTTTCTAATAAGTTACTAAATTCAACAAGCAAGATTTTAAACATGTCAAAGATGGTTTTGAAATTCTTGCTTGCTTGATTCTGAAATCTGTTAAAGAACAGTAGAAATAATCGATTTTGCTAATTTATCCCAGCAGCCAACTAGTTTCAATCTCTCTTATTGCAATAATTTTTGACATGTGATTTCTTGAAAAAAAAAGATCGAAAAGATATTGAAACGAAATACTAGTGATATAGGTATGAATAACGAAAAAAAATATTGATACAAAAATATTCAGTATTTTGAAAGAAAAATATCGATACTAGTATTATATCAGTTATATTCAGTATTATATCAGTATTATATCAGTTATATATTATACTAGTATTATAACATCTCTGAATAGAACTCATCAAACTTCCTCTACACAAAGACACAAAATTCCTCTACCATTTCGTAAAGAATCATATAAAATTTTTATGCGCGATATGATAGATGAGCCGTGATGGCGAGGTCTTTCATCGTATGCTTGCACATTAGGTGCAAAATGCAAATTGAGCAAAAAAGTGACATCCTCTACTACTTTGCAAATGACAACGTAGATTTCTAGTTGTTAATTAAAGAAAATTGGTGCATGATTGTGCGCGACGTCGCCATCACAGCTCATCATGTGCCACGTGATCGCGCATAATCATTCACCAATCGTTTTTAATTAATAATTCAAAATTTTACGTGATTGTTTTCGAAATGATAGAGGAATTTTCTGTTCAGTTTGATGAATTTTACCTGCACACAATAGATGTGTCAATAATCGTCAGATGCCCTGTATAGCGATTGTGCGTGGTATACAGGGTGTTTCTTAAGTAATACCTAATATAGGAGCTGATTCTTGAGATTATTTCATGAAGAAATGTTCATGTGAACATACAGTCTCAAAGATCTCGTTTTTCGAAGAAGCTTTATAAATTCTATATTAAAACACAAATATCTCTCCTAAACGAAGAACTTTATCGAAATCTACCAACAGTAGTACTTTTTGTAAATAATTGGTAAGATAGTAAGCTCCATAAATACTCCAAATTATCCAATCCAAGTTCCTACGCTATTGACTTCTTACAAAATTGCGTCTATAGATTAGAAATAAAGATAATATTCTGCCTGTAATCTGAGATTAGAATCTGATAGAATCTGAGAATTTGAAAAAGAAATCTCTTTTCGTTTAGGAGCTATTAAGAAAAATTAATAATTTTATAGAAATTTTAACACTTTGAAACGAAATCTTGAAGATTATATATTCATATGATCTTTCCTTCACGAGATGATTTAAAAAATCAGCTCGTAAAAGATTGGATAATACTTAAGGAACACCCGGTATAATGTTCGCTATATATAATGGAGTATAATGGAGTACGCACCCATTAATTAATCTTCTTCAACGACGGACAAATGCGAATCACGAAGGCGCATGTGAATGCGAGACTGAGGCGCTCTTTTGCGCCGATGTCTGCACGGAAAATTCCTGCCTCCTAGGATATCGTGTATGCACACACATACACACACGCACGCTTGTACACACACACACACACACACATACACACATGGGCGGCGCACGCTATGCTCCGGGATTTGCTTTGTTGTGCCGACTATATCAGGCTCCATCTCCAAACACCACCACTCACCTACGTCGACGCTAACGCTGGCCGTTTTCTGTACCCTCCCGAATGAAAATCGAAAAAAAGTGAATAAAGAAAGCTGCCCAAAAACTGCCCAAACTAAAGTTCTCTCGTACTCTACACCGACGATGATCTCTTAACGTCAAAAAATTTTTGTATAAGGTATATTCCTCCTACAGAGAAAAACTTGGTCGAGGGAGGGTAATGGTGACGGTCTGGCAGTCCACTCGGCCAACGCGACGAATGCGGTGGGTAGTACTGTAGTGTCGCAGCACCATACCCAACAGCAACAGCAGCTGCAACAACAACAGCAGCAGCAACAGCAACAGCACAAGCAGGCGGGCATGACGACGCACAGCAAGCAAGTGGCCAACGCGGCCAATGCAGGCGGTGGCAGCAATCCCCAGGGCGATGGGGATTATCATTTAGTACAGCACGAAGTCCTCTACTCTATGACTAATCAATACGAGGTCCTCGAGTTTCTCGGCAGAGGTACTTTCGGACAGGTGAGAACCTCTTTCTTTCTCTCTCTTTCTTTCTCTCTCTCTCTCTCTCTCTCTCTCTCTCTCTCTCTCTCTTTTACTCACTCACTCACTCTCTCGTAAATGATACGTCTTTATGACGCTGGGCGATAACGATCCGATAAAGCGTCTGATGAATGTTGATTTGTCGCAGGTCGTAAAATGTTGGAAAAAGGGTACGAACGAGATAGTGGCCATCAAAATTCTAAAGAACCATCCGTCGTATGCGCGCCAAGGTCAGATTGAGGTAAGTTTCGTGAGATACTGAAATAGTGTAATGTACAGTCTTTCTACCACACACGACGAATTTCTACACCGTTCCTACTTGCTTGCAGGTCTCCATCCTGTCTCGACTTAGTCAGGAAAATGCGGACGAGTTCAATTTTGTGCGCGCTTTCGAGTGCTTCCAGCACAAGTCTCACACCTGCTTGGTATTCGAAATGTTGGAGCAAAATCTCTACGATTTTCTAAAGCAGAACAAATTTTCGCCCCTACCTCTCAAATACATCAGGCCGATACTTCAGCAAGTACTCACCGCGTTATTAAAATTGAAGGTGCGTATTACGTATCTTCGTTGCACCTTCAATCGATGATGGGTCCGATCGATGATGGATCGAGCACATTGACTGCCGGATTGATTTCCACTGACTGTTTGCCCACTATCCTGTACTTTTTTTTTAATGCAACTGTGTAAAACAGACTTAGGGTTTGCTTATGTGGACGTAGAAAGAGAAATTATCGCTGTCACACATATGTAACGTTGTGACACATGTGTGACGTTAACAACGATTGTGTTAAAGAGAACTTAACGCGAAGATATTTTACCGTATTATCGATCACTAAAGACCACCGCGGCATTCAGCAAGTTAAATACGAGATTATGAAATTATTTTTAATTGATTTTACTCCACAGCAATTAGGATTGATACATGCTGACTTGAAACCGGAGAACATCATGCTAGTAGACCCAATACGCCAGCCGTATCGTGTGAAAGTCATCGATTTCGGATCAGCTTCACATGTATCAAAAGCCGTCTGCAACACTTACCTGCAATCACGATATTACCGTGCACCTGAGATCATACTCGGACTCCCATATTGCGAAGCGATAGATATGTGGTCACTAGGATGTGTGGTCGCAGAATTGTTTCTTGGTTGGCCTCTGTACCCGGGCAGTTCTGAATATGATCAGATTCGGTATATAAGTCAGACGCAGGGCCTACCGACAGAGCACATGCTGAACAACGCCAGCAAAACAACCAAATTCTTTTACCGAGACATGGACAGTACGTATACACTCGACCTGTACAGCGTGCATGCAGAGAATTTTATAGCATTTGCGATTGCGTGCGCAGTCACTCTTTTGAACTACGACTCCGTCTTTTTCTTTTAGGTACATATCCATTTTGGCGATTAAAGACACCGGAAGAGCACGAGGCGGAGACTGGTATCAAATCTAAGGAAGCGAGGAAATATATTTTTAATTGCCTTGACGATATCGGCCAAGTTAACGTACCGACTGATTTAGATGGTGGTCAGCTTTTACCGGAAAAGGCGGATAGGAGAGAATTTATTGACCTCTTGAAGAGGATGCTCACAATGGACCAGGTAGTAATATCTAATTGATGCTTTTCGTGTACGATAGCATGCAAATATGTGTATATTTGTATTGTATTTTGAACGTGTAAATATATTGATCAAAAGAAATGTTTTATCACACACATTTGTTATGTTTGCATAATACATAGGAGCGCCGTATAACACCCGGCGAGGCTCTGAACCATGCGTTTGTTACTTTGGCACACCTAGTCGATTACGCGCACTGTAACAACGTCAAAGCTTCCGTCCAGATGATGGAGGTTTGCAGGCGCGCGGGAGACTTCACCGCGAGTCCAGCGCATCATCAGGCCCCGCCAGCGCCGCAGCCACCACCACCAACGTCTTTGGTAGCCAATTTTGTACCAACCACGAACGGCAGCGCGGTGACTCTCACCTTTAACAATCAATTGACCAATCAGGTGCAGCGATTAGTTAGAGAGCATCGCACTGCGCAAACAGGCTACGACAATCTGGTATGTCGATTAGGATCTCTTACAATGCTTTGTTGTTAATCGCAAGACGCTGCATTATTTCGCGTGAAGTGTATCTTTAAGCAGTAGATTCTCACTGCAACATGTATCTTTTGCACAGAAAGAAGTTTTTTCTTTTTTTAATAATTAGTTTTTATTCAGGATTTCTTCCAAAACTACCATGCAATACTTTAACAATATATTGAACCTTAATTGTAGTAAAAAATCCTAATGCACAGATATATTGTGGCATATTAATACTTTTCGAGTTCTAAACCAATGAAGGAGTTGACTTTCTCGAATTAAACTTTAGAAAAACAAATGAATAACAAAGTTGCATCTATTGTAATTTACCGCATTTGCAGGAAATTTGTAAAAAATGCATTTTAATCTTTTTAACTAATTTCTATATGTGAATTTTAATCAGAAGTTTAGTTACAAAGATATATACAATATTAGAAATTGGAAAATTACGATAAACAATGACGCTTTAGAATTTGCTACTCTAATTATGTTCCAGAAGATATGTTATTAAAAAGTGTTATATGATAATTTTAGGTCATCCTGTATACTATTTTATCAAAATTAAAATGTATGAAAAAGAAACATGACGTCTGTGCGGTTTCCGTTTCTAGTACCAAATATATAGCAACAGCAGTCGACGGGCGACACAATATAGCGGTTCATCCAGTGGATCTAATAGTGGACGAAGTGGCGTGCATGACTTTCCGCATCAACTGGTACCTGGTATATTGTGTCCGCCACCTGGCTACCAAACGATGCCGAGTCCTGCTAAACACGTAGTTGTCGCTCAAGTAAGAATAATATTGTTACTATAGTTGTACACGAATACTTGACGTTTATTATTTGAACATCGTCGATCACTGATAACGATCAACTGGATACAAAAAGAAACCGCGAATAAGAGTCGACGTAACATAGATTGCAAAACTCACTCAATTTATAAGTGAAATAAGAAATGGAGTTTCAAACAAACTGTAGACTTTTACCACCTATATGGAATATTATGACCTGAGAAAACATTCCGAATCTCAAGATTAGTACGAGACTGTTTAAAATTCCTTTTATTTCATTTAGATTCCAAATAGATTGGGCGAGGCTCGCAATGTATATCTTACGTCGACTCTTATTAATCTTTTTATCTCCAGATTGTACATCTGAAAGTTTTAATCATTCATTTATTTTTTACTAAGGACTTTGCTTTGCAGCCACCACAAGCGCAACAGGCTCCTCTACAGATTCAACCGTCGATTATATCGCAGCAAGCCGTAGCTGCAGCGGCCGCGGCTGCTCAGCAACAATATGCTGCGGTTCCTGTGTCTATGGTTGAAACTGGTCGGCAAATGTTGCTCACCGTAAGTTGAAAGCTAATATTCCGCTCAGCTCTCGAACTAACGACGAGTAATAATCTAATGTACATCATTTGTTTACGGTGACTAATAGAATGCCGTGCAGACATCTTGGCCCGGTGGAAGTCGTCAGATGGCTGCGATCGTACCGTCGTGGCAGCAATTACCGCCGCAACACGCAGCCATTCAACAACCGCTGCTTAGCGACGCTGGAGACTGGGGGAGGCCACTTATCGTTGATAGTTCTGCCATATTACAGGTAAGATAAATTGTTGTTGAATAATCCGTATAATATTCCTGTATTATCATTATGTTATTTATATGTGTTATTAATTTACATACATGTGTTATTTCTTTTTCTTTGTCTCTCTCTTTCCTCATGTTTTATATTATATCAACACATTTTTCGTCTAAATAAAATCTGTAAGTCGACCTCTTAATGCCCAGTTTGTAACTAATCTCCCTTGTTTTGGGGAAGGATCAGCGGCCAGTGTTTCCCGTCACAGAAGTGTACAATGCTAGTGCGCTCGTCGAGCATCCTTCGCAAAGCTGGGGCAAGCGTACTGTCACGAAACATCATCAGCATCATGTTACAGTACCATCTGTACAACAACCACAACATAGGCATGAACATAAGAAGGACACACAACAATTAAGTCCTGTAAAGAAACGGGTCAAAGAGAGCACACCGCCGAGTAGTATGAGAAGGCACTCGCCGACGTCGAGCAGTCATTGGCAGGAGCAGCCGGTGCAATCGCATCATCACAGTAGCAAACACAGCAGCAGTCATAATGTGGAACATCAACAGGTCACCACCGTTCGACAGCAAACCATCACGATCCACGATACACCTTCGCCGGCCGTTTCTGTCATCACGATTAGTGACAGTGAGGATGAGACTCCAGGAAAATGGTGAGTACACACATTGACATTACTATTTAAATGTTTTACGCATGAAGACAACACGAGATGCAGCATGAACTGTATTTATATGGCAGCCTAAAACCGATTTAAAAACACCTATACAAGTACTGTTCTTCCAAACAAGTAATAAAGTTTTGTTGATATCTAATAAAAAAATAATTTAAAAAAATACATAATTTTGACAGAATCTTTAGTTAGAAATTTAACAGTTAAGATAGATAATTCGATAGATTTTATAGGACAAGATACTGTACATGAGGCTATCTCAACTGCAACAAAAAATTCAATTATCCGGATTACTTAGGAAATAATTATAGTTTACATGACTATAAAATTGATTTGATTATTTTCTATACTGCAACTGTTAGTATCATTGAGTTGGTGCCAAAGGTTTGTCGTATTTGTCAAATAAAATGGAAGTTCGAGTTATTCAATTTCGAAGGATTAATCATTTTCACGAATAAAAAATAAACAACATCGACTTGATATAATTTTAGACATCTAACGAGATTTCCTATTTTCCTTTTAATATCCAAATTTTTTACGACAGTTCAATAGAAAAATGACAAATCTTTTGCATTAATCTAATACAGATACGACACGTATATAATACAGTTATAACGTTAATATTTCTAAAACATGTACACACATCAAAAGTTACTGCAACGGAATTCCTTAAATTGTTTTATGTATATAGTTTATGTAAATGTATATTATATAGAGGTGTTATTAAATCGATTTAGGATGGCTTGTAAATGTAGTCATATATTTGATGTAGTTAGGATATTATCGAATCTATCGTCCATAAGATATCAATTCTCGGACACGTATTTAATCCTAGATATTTTTTATTGTTTTAGATACGAATATTTAAATTTTTAACATGAGATGTATGTATATACTCAATAGTTGTATATATATTTTATGTTGAAAGTTCAAATATTTATATTTAAAGATCAAAACAACAGGAATGACCAGGATAAGTGTCTGGGCATTGATATTTTTACTTTAATGATAGTTATTCGAGAGTAAAATGCGACAATTGGCGCAAAGTTCTTTTGCACTTATCAGTAGCGTCACACATAGACTTTAGTAAAATTATATTGATTTTGATGCTTTGAGAAATTTATACTCTCTCGAGTAAGAGAGACAGAATGCGATCTGTTAGATGCTTTATAGACTTTTGAAATGTTATTTTATACACATTACGTTAATAATATATGTCATTATATAGCTGGAATATTTTGAAGCACCTGATGACAGAAAAGATATGTATTTTAGAGAGAGAAGGACAGAGACATATATATTTTATATCAATTACAAATCTGTCAAATTTATCTTACGAACAATTTTGTCTAAATTATTGTTACAAAGAGGGATTTCTTCTCTTGGAAGTATCCGGTTAAGCACACGTATTTCTAAACGTATTATCAGTTGGTAGTAGAATCATGCGTGAATGTCGTTAACAGCTGCGGAGACCGTCAGTGCAGCGCCTGTCAAAGTTTGGCGACTCGCTTATCGGGCGACGGACGTCCTGTCCGTGAAGAAGTCATACGAAGGTACATTAATGTAATATGCCTCAAAGGGCGGTGTTACGTGATTAACGATGATTAAACGAGCTTTGCGGAAAGTACACGCAGTTATATGGGATATCAATTAACCAGTTGGACGTCACGAGGATCGGGGAAGAGGATTGATTTCGAAATTTACTTCTATTGTAAAGTTGTTCGAAATCAGTTCTCCTCCATGGCGTATGCTTTGCCCAAAAGACTAATTCGGTCTTCTTTACGGATTTTAGAAATGTTCATAAAAGCGAGAATCACACACACATTCGTATATTTATTATTAAACATTTCTCTCGAGAATATGTGTGATCAATTCTACAAGATCTTTGTCTCATCTTTTACAATAATTTATTTTGTTATACTACGGGATGGACACAAGAGCAACTTGGGGATCTGGTTACGAAGCTTGGCATGAAGCGGCTATCGACTAACATAAAATTACATCTTTTTTAATCAATAACATCGTTGTAATGTGTATACACACACGCACACACATACATTTATGTACAAACACATCTTCAGCATGTGATATATTTGATGCGGTTGCGGCGCTAACTCGTCACGATTGAAACACGCGGCGACGATGTCTCGATGCGAATGTTTCAAAATACGAGAAGACGAAAAATAAAGAGGTCTCCTTTCTTTGAATTACAGCACACAATCAACGCCGCGCGTCGTGCAGACGACAATGCAGCAGACACACGCGAGCAATCAGCAACATACGAACGGACACGTCGCGACGCATAATAGCTCGTCGCACCGGGCGCAGCGCAAGAACGTCATCAGTTGCGTGACCGTCGGCGACAGCGACGGCGAGGCTAGCCCCAGCCGTACGCACGCCCATCTGTATCAACATCTACCGCAACCTCCGCAGAATCAGCAGCCCACACATTTAATTAAGCACGAGCCACAGCAGCAACATCACGTTAGCAGGTGGATATTTTGCAAATGTTGAACTGCGATAACGATGTTGATCGATCGAAACGCTCGTAACGGAGAATTTTTCATTTTTAAATTTAATTCTTTTGAATCCTCAACTCAAATCTCGAAGTCAAGGTTGTTTAGTCAAAGTTGTATGAAAATAGGCAATTTTTATCTTTCTTGAGAAATCACCAAAGAATATTCAAGCAACGCAATAATAGAAAGAATATTCATTAAATTTTTTATTTAATTTACAATAAGCCAGAAGTATTTTTTGTTTAGTTTATTTAAATGATAATTTTTTTATTGAATAAATTATCAGGCTTTTGGATACATAAACAACAAACAGATAAAAAGAATCAATAAGAGTCTACGTAAGGTATCAACTACGAAACACACTGCATTTTCAAGTGAACTAAGAAAGAGAGCATTGAATGTCTTGAAAAGTCAACTAAACGTTTCGATTATCATTCTGACCGTCATTCAGTGAAAATGGATAGAAGAAATAATGCACAAATATTATACGGCTACGAACACTTACCACAAGTGTGGAAGTGGCAGAGATTGACGTTTAATGCTTCATTTCTTAATTCATTTATAAATATAATGTGTTTTGTAGTTGACATCTTGCGTGCGACGTCGACGTCTCTTACTGATTTTTTATCTATGATAATTTTTTTCATTTCAGTAGATTATTGTAATTACTTTATGTTGAATATCAACGGTGATACTGAGTTATTAGTTATATCTCTGATTTATTTATGCCAAATGTATCATATAATATAGTGATACCATATAATATAGTGATAGTTAACTAAACGTAGCTAACTTGAGAGATGGATGTGCTCGGAGTGAAAGATTCGCTATGAAATGTCGTTTTTAATTAAATACATTATCTTTTGGCCACGTTACAATAGTGTATCATTCTTTGGCGCGTATATATAGCTGAAATACAACACTTGTGTCTCCAGCACAATGTCCAGTTGCACATGTGTGCAAAAGAACAGCGTCCAGTTGTACACGGGTGTCAAAGAAAGGTGCACCTACGTAACTGTACTGTGATCAATAATAACTATCTAAATGTTGTGTTCAATTGAAACATCCACTTGTACTATGACCAAAAGTTATTGAGTCCAATTGTTTTGTGCGTCACTGAACCTATTCTGCTATAAATTAACGATGTTTTCAAGAATTCTCATTTGTATCTCAGTTAATAGCAACAGTTTCAACCTGATGCAATAGAAACAAGTTAACGGGAAAAATTGAATTAAATTCAAATTAACTCAATTTCAAGATTATATATGACAAACTAGCTACTCCGATTCTGTCAGTAAAATTTTGACTTCTTAAATCTTTTGTTTACATAAAATAAGTTGAATGTTTAAAACGAGGTTATTATAAAGTTGACCCAACACATTACTAGTCATATTTATTATGCGATTTAGTAACTTAATCTTTTTTAACGAGCACTATAATTATCCATACAGTTAAATCAGTCTTTTAGTAGGTTGATGTCGAAAAGACATTTATAAACATATATACACAACTACTAGTTCTTTATAAACACATATATAACTATAGTTGACGAAACTTTCAGTTAATTCTTTACTACCGACTAAATTTTACAGTTCGAATTCTTACCAGGTTATTAATTGATTTGATTCGATCTTCATACAGCTTGTATAATGAAATTTGCATAATCTTGAGATTTTGTTCTTCTTACTGATTTCTTTTTTTCAATGGCTTTTATTATTTCAAGTAATTATTATTTTAACTCATTTATATTATACCTAATATCGTTATTTATGAAATAATGTAGTTATCTATGAAATATCCTACAATCATGCCCACAATTTTGACCACACAGAACGTATTCTCGTTGCTCTGTACTCTCAAATAGTTAAATAAACGTAATCAGTCACTCTCTGTGTATTTATAATATTTAGATATAATTATCAGAATTATAATTAGATTATGATTATTCAATATGAGAGTATTTAATCTTCGATAATACGTATGTAACAAATATGTTAATTTACAATAGCGTGCTTCATAAAATGCACATTTCGATTGATTTCTCCGTATTGTTTTTATCCGTAACAGTAGCAGCAGTTCAGGATACTCTTCACAATCACAAAAGAAGCGATTGCTAGCGAAAGTACAGTCTGAGTGCAATATGGTGAACGTCGCGACGAAACCGGAGCCCGGTGTCGAGTATCTTGCTCCGCATCCGTGTCACGCGCCAGCCTGCAAAGAGCCACCGACCTATCAGGTAAATCATAGCGCATCTATTAATCACATCTATCAGTCCCTAGTTGGTTATTTTCCGCCATATTCCGAATTTATTCGCGATTCTCCGGGAATCGCGGGTTCGTTTTTCTTTTCTTTGTGTGTTCACTTGGCATCTTGCAGAATGCTCGAAGGCCACACGCCAGCCGCGATCTCACATGACGGTTCCTTCCTCAATTTTGCCCCCACTTTCTCCTTGATTAATCTTTAGATAATGTTTTTCTAGGGTGACGCCTATGACTTGCATGACTACTTCTTGCAGTATGTGACCACGAGTAGTGCGCATCCTCACCTTCAAGAACAGCATATCGTGTACACGACTGGCACGGACAAGCGAGTGTCTTGGCCCGGCAAGCGGGCGGAGTACAAGCACGAGTACGTTCAACCACCGGCCGCTCACTCGAGAGACCATCAAAAGTGGGTCGTGGCTAATCCGGTGCATCAATACAGGTGAGTGTCCGCTACCACGGCATGACTACCTATTTCGTCCGTGCGTCTTTTTATCGAAGCATGTAGCACAAGACACGAGACAAAGTCTCGTGTCTCTGGAACGATTTTATGCGACATGGCACATAGACGACGATGCATGCCCTCTCGTCGAATAATTGACGTGCATACACGCATGCGAACTCTCTTCCCCTTCCCCGAGAGAAAAACGATCGAGCTGAGACAATACGGCGGGTAGCTTGACTCAGGCACTCTGGGCAAGTAAACGGCATGCAAGAATCTCTACACGATTCTATGAGAATGAGAATCTTACCTAATTAAATTAGTTCACTCTCCCTTCCCCCTTGTTCCCGAAATTCGGGGAAGAGATGCGGAAGAGGAACTTGCGAATCCTTCGAAAGCGCATCCGTACGACCTCTTCTGTTATCCCTTAAAGAGTCGTATTGCAGTAAGTAAATGAGACATGTGAATTACATAACGACGGGGTGGAATTTGTTTTGCCTTTTGTAGGCAGAGCCAGGTAGTGGGTTCGGCAGCTCATCCGAGCCACACCCACAGCCATCACGGACATCCGGCTCACCTGAGTCCTGGTGGCGGTGGCGGCGGTAGAAGTCCTGCCAGCGGTGCCGTGATAGGGAGTGCCCAGCATCTGGGACAACCCCTTTACCAGGAATACGCTCATGTACGCTCGAGGGCTCACGCAGTACCACCGCCTGTGTACGTTACCGCTGCACCCTCGCAGGCTGCCACTGCTATCCAGCAACAACAAGTGCCCACCTATCAGGGATTTACACCCGGGTGGGTACCTAGACATCTAAATGACACATGCATGTGTGTACCATTTATTATATCTACGTTCTTCTAGCGTTAACTATCATTGTATATGTCGTCTGTGTGCAATCTTTCCGAAGTAGAGTTGCGATAGCGAGCTTCTCCCTTGTGGACATTGCGCATCGCAGCATGTAACGTTTAAGTCGGACGAGGGTATTCACAGGAGATCGATGCTTACGCACACTTTTCGATATACGTTATTAAACGCGCAAATTTTTTGATATCAAGAGAGCGTCATAGCTCCTAAGCATTCGAGAGTGGAGATTGATAATTGCACGGACTCTCGCGTCACAGAAGTCACTCTCTTGGCCCTCTTTCAGATAAATCTATAAGATAAATCTATAAGAAGATTTATAAGAAATTATTTTATTCAGCTAAGACCAAATTTGTTTTTCGTCCTCGTAAAGCAATTTTCTGATGCAATGCTTATAAATTATTGCGTTATAATCGAAGGTGTTTGGCGCATTCCACGTTTACACTGACTACCTTTACACGACAACTTTTAAAACCAACTTAGTAATATCCGTAATTTATATTTACATGAATAGCATAAAACTGATCGAGTAATTCCCTATGTTTTAGCTATTGGTGTTATATTTTTTTAATTATATTATGCGACATGTAACATAAAGAAGTTACATAAAAAATTATCAAATTTGTATTGTGCTGGTCATGTAAGTTGTGGTACTTCTACGGATATTATGAAATCGGATTTTTAGGCTACTGTGTAAACATAGTCACTAATGTTGAATTATTATTGAAAAGTACGTGTATCCTTCCTCTGCTTCCAATGTTTAACCCTTTGATTGCGAAACATTACTTCAAATTTAAACGCTTACTGTGCTTGTCCCGAAATATGCTGACGATGCTGAAAATTCATAATACATGTGACATAAACTATATGTTTCCATTATTGTCAGCACATTTTGGAACGCAGCTTATGGACGACACACGGCTCGTGATGACAATTGCTGAGGACAAAATACTTGAGATTGTCGTAAGTCGATGAAAGAAATAACTACTTGAGAAATTGGGAATAATGAGTCGACACAAATGAAATTTTATTTATTATCGTTGCTAAAATACTTAAAGCAATATGAGCGTGTGTGCTCTTCGCGAACGTTGATAATTATTATTGTTTATATCCAAAGTATGAAACGGATGACGCACAGAAGAATATAAGCAGTAACACAGCCCCGTATTAATAGTTGTTACTTGAAACTTTTCTCAAGAGAGATTATTCAGATTTGAAAATTTAAACCCGTAGGAAAATAGGCAGCGAATAAAACTTATAACATTGAAATCCGACCAATTCTTATTAATTTTGCCACATATGAAAAAATGCCTGCTTTTCTACGCTCTGTATCATGATCGCAAATCATGATTGCAAATGCCGCGTACATCATGTAATTCAATTGAAAAAATCTGAAAATTCTAGACTAGTATCTCACATAAGATAAGTTTCAAGTAATGATTATTAATACAGACCTTAAGCAGTAAGCGAATTCAATAATTATATCTGAGATTTATGAGAGACAATTATATTGAAATTTTCGACTATAATTGATCAATTCGCTTCCAGTCTTACTAAGTCGTGTTGTTTATGTTTTTCTGTGAGACAGTCCTAAATCGGAGAAATTCGCGAAACATACATGATGTTTCTTAAAAAAAAAATAAATTGTCTAATATTTTAAGAGTTGATTTTTGAGATCATTTTATGAAAAAAAGTTTATATGAACATATGGTTTCAAAAGCCTTATTTCAGAGAGAGATAAAGGATGTTAAAACTTTTGTAAAATTATCTTTTTTTTTAATAATTTCTAAGCAAAAAGAGATTTTCTTTTTTAAACTGGGATAAAAACTATTCTTGATAGATCTTGATAAAGTCATTAAAAATATCTTTAACACTCTATATCTCTTTGAAGCTCTTGAGACTATATGTTCGTATGAACTTTTCTGCATAAAATTATATAAAGAATCAACTTCTAAGATATTGGACAGTACTTAAAAAACATCATTGACGTTGATAATCGACAGTTATGTAACATATATGCGTCCACAGTATTCAAAGGGTTAAGAGTAGGGAGTGGAAAATTTTATATCGATATGTAGACCCTCGCATACGTACAGAGCGTAGCGTAATTTTTTTATCATGTGGAATACGTTATATATGGTTTCGAAAGTAGGAGAGGCCAAGCACACCGACTTCCTGTTAGCGAGCAGTTTTGAGCGCGGGATCTTGTGAAACGTCCAAGTTGTGTCGATTGTACTCCTGAGTTTATCCTCGAGAGTATGCACCGTTCGAAAACGATCTATATTATAAACAAAATGTATGATTTCCTTTTTTTTAGAGCTTTATGGAGACTTTCTAACGTGCGTTATCCCGTTTTTTACAGCTCGTCTCCATTAACGTTGTATGATTCTAGTCGAGCGTTGCCACCACCAGCTCATCACAGCTCGGCCAGACCGTTACTGGCGAGTCACCCAGCACATCCGTTGCCTGCGCATATGCAGCCTACAGCCGTTTACGGATTGACCCCGCTTTCGCCAGCCAAGCACCAATACCAACCTCCCAGTTTGTGGTTCACCGAGTAAATTATTTCCGTCGAGCCGTGGATATATGAATCGTACGAGCGAGCAAAACATAACGAATAACCACACGATTTTTCTGGGAACTTACGAGCCGCCTGTGCCGGTCGCATAAACGATCCGATTTAACGGAGAACGCAAAAAGATAAGTAGATAGAGAAGGAGGGAGGGAGGGAGGGAGAGAGGGGACGAAAGATCACGTTCTGTCGTGCACATTTTTCCGTTTTACTGTCACTCGATCAGTAAGCGAGAGAACGTAGCGGCTAGGAGGTGTTCGAGCCGCTGCGATCACGGGTACCAATCGCGGACTGGTACCACGACACTGCGTATACTTACGAGAACTTACGACTGAGCGGAATTACGAGAGCGAGTTTGCCAAATCAAATCGCGAGAGCAAGGGCGCGTTTAAAGATAAAAAAGAAAAAAAAAACACTTTGACAATCCGTCCTAAGCATTCCCTTCCGATCGCCCTCGCGAAGAGCAAAGCGCGACGAGACCACAGTCGGTGTTGTAACTAAAAGTCTCTTTGTATATGTTTGTTACGCTTCTTACATGTCCGACATGATCCCATCGTCTCATCGCGACAGTCTCACGAGGAAATCAAACGAAAGATACAGAGGGAGAGAAAGAGAAAGAGAACACCCCGTAAAATTCCCACCCTGACGCGCGCGCGATTGTACGAAAAAAAAAGAAAAAAACGAAAACCCGATACCAATTACTCGTGAAGAAGTCTCTCGTCCCTTTCGACTCGCGTTTTCTTTGACTCTCCTTTCTTTCATTTCAATCGAAAGGGACGTAATCTCGGCGTGTGCGGCAAGTTGTACATTTCCAGTCGTAAGTTTCCAGAGATAATAAGAGACGGAGAGACGCAAGTTTCCAACGTTTTATTACGAAACGAGAGGGAGTTTGTAAGGACGTGTACAGACCAAAATTTTCTATCTAAAGCTGCCCGATCCGTTGAATTGCGCCTACACCTGCACGGTTCCTCTCTATTGTACATATATACGGGGCTAAAAGCGGGCGGCTTGAATAGATCGGGCGCATTGACGTAGAACGATAGAGATGTTGTGCACATAACGGTATTGCCGATTCGCGTGTGTGTGAAAACCGTTAACGAACACTAATTTCGTTTCTGCGCGAATGAGCTTTGCATTTCTTCATGGTATGTCGCGGGACATATCGCGGACGTATCTGTGTATCTTGTTTTTAATGCTCCTTAACAAAATCATTTTAGCGTATTAGGTTTCTTGGGTCATTATATAGCTAGGCGATTCGTTCTGTGCCGGTGGGATTTTTCGATTGTATTAAGGGTTTTGCTACCAGTTATAACGCTTTAGTCTTACGATATTTTATTTATAACGGGCACTCGCAAGACTAACTACAAGAGGTAGCCACGTTGTTCTAAATAGTTTGCTGAGAGTTACTCGAGTGTATATTTTAACACGGCCAAATACCATACACACACACATACTCACACATATAACAAACAAACACACACACACACACACACACACACATTTTTGACATACACTTAACTGTACCACGTATTTGGAACTTGGGCAAGTTCTTCGAGTAGAATTATTCAAGTGTCGTAAACATAGTCATGTGAGGAGCACTTGTGCCGGAAAATAATACATGAGGGATTTATAATCGAGCTACGAGCATCTTAAGATAATCACACGACATCCGAATTGACGAAAGCTTTGATGTGCCTTTTTTGGAACAGTCACACTATTTATTATCTTTACATTATTAAGTAATTATTGTTTCGATTCGTCCTCATCTGATCACGTGATCGTCATTTTCATCATCGTCATCGTTGTATTCATTACTGTCTCCATCGTCATTATCGTTGCTACTAATGATCATTTGCATTCATCCTTGATTCCGTTCTGAATTGTACAGATACCATCGTGTTACGGGCAACCTGCCTTAAGTTTGTTGTTCCGGAGCACGAAGTTGTGACAACAATCCCGAAGGATTCGTGAATTGTACATAAATTTAACGGCCTTTCATTAATATTATTTTCTCATGCACTAATATTTCGCATTTCACGGCGGAAGTGATATTAAAAGAGAAAGGGAAATGAGAGAGAAGAATGTACGCGTCGGGTACATTGCACAAATCAGTGAGACGGGTAGGAAAGACGAAGTAACGCGTTTAGGGAAGTCTTTCTACGGGGGTATGGCGGAGTAGAGTCGAGAGATCTTTTTCGAATGACAGAAGTTGTGGGAGAAGTATATGCCAAACAGCAATAAAATATCGTAATGGATCTTACTCTAAAGAATTTCTCATGTCACAGAGTCATATATTGCGCATATTTCTTTCCGCGTGCTAGATGCAGACTTCTTTCTTACATATATACGATAAGAACGTCTTAGAGAGAGAGAGAGAGAGAGAGAGAGAGAGAGAGAGAGAGAGAGAGAGAGAGAGAGAGAGAGAGAGAGAGAGA